TGGGCATGGTGGCGCGTGCCTGTAATCCCAGCGACTCAGGAGGCTGAGGCAGGAGAATTGCCTGAACCCGGGAGGCGGAGGTTGCGGTGAGCCAGGATCGCGCCATTGCACTCCAGCCTGGGTAACAAGAGCGAAACTCCGTCTCAAAAAAAAAAAAAAAAAAAAAAAAAAACAACCATAAATAGACATACTCTAATATACCACAGGTAAGTCAAAATGGGTTGCTAAAAAATGTTCACATAATTCACAGGAAGGCAGAAAAAGGAAAACAGTAGAGTAAGAAGGAGAGAGAACAAATAGAAAACAAATAATAAAATGGCAAACTTAAATCCTAACATAAATAAATGCTATCGTATTTTGCCCATTTTTAATGGGGTTGTTTATTGCTTGCTTGATTGTTTACATTCTTGTAGATTCTGGATATTAGACCTTTGTCAGGTGCATAATTTGTGAATATTTTTTCCCGTTATGTAGGTTGTCAGTTCACTCTGTTGATAGTTTCTTTTGCTGTGTAGGTGCTCTTTGGTTTAATTAGATCCCACTTGATTTTTTTTTTTTTTTCTTTTTTTGAGACAGAGCCTCTCTTCATAGTCCAGGCAGGATTGCAGTGGTGCAATCATGGCTCACTTCAGCCTCGACCTCCCAGGCCCAAGCAATCCTCCCATCTCACCCTCCCCAGTAGCTGGGACCACAGGTGTCCATGCTTGGCTAATTAAAAACATTATTTTTGGAGGGATGGAGTCTCCTTATGTGGCCCAGGCTAGTCTTGAACTTCTGGGCTCAAATAATCTTCCTGCCTCAGCTCCCCAAAGTTGGGATTACAGGCGTCAGCCACAGGGCCTGGCCTCCAATTGCTTTTGAGGACTTATTCATAAATTCTTCCCAAAGGCCGATGTCAAAAATGGAGTTTCCTAGGTTTTCTTCTAGGATTCTTATAGTTTGAGGTCATACATTCAAATCTTTAATCCATTTTGGGTTGGTTTATGTATATAGTTAGGGGTCTGGTTTATTCTTCTGCATCTGGGTAGCCAGCTATCCCATCACCATTTATTGAATAGGGCATCCTTTCCTCATTGCTTTTGTTGTTGTTGAAGATCAGATAAGTGTAAGTGTGCAGTTTTATTTTGGGGTTCTCTATTCTGTTCCATTGGTCTAGTATCTGTTTTTGTACCGATACTATGTTGTTTTGGTTACCGTAGCCTCATAGTATAGTTTGAAGTCAAGTAATGTGATGCCTCAAGCTTTGATCTTTTTGCTTGGGATAGCTTTGGCTATTCAGGCTCTTTTTTGGTTCCATGTGAATTTTAAAATAGGTTTTTTTGTTTTGTTTTTTTTAGCTCTCTAAAAATGACATCGGTAATTTGCCAGGAATAGTGCTGAATCTGTAGATTGCTTTGGGCAGTATGGCTATTTTAATGATATTAATTCTTCCGGCCCATGAATATGGAATGTTTTTCCATTTATTGGTGACACTTGCGATTTCTCTTAGCAATGTTTTATAGTTTTTCTTGTATTAGGAGAACTAATACACCTCCTTGGTTAGATGTTATTCTAGGTATTTTGTGTGTGTGTGTGTGTGTGTGTGTGTGTGTATTGTAAATGGGATTGTGTTCTTGATTTGGCTCTCAGCTTAAATATTATTGGTGTATAGAAATGCTACTTATTTTTGTACGTTGATTTCTGTATCCTGAAACTTTACTGAAGTCACTGATAAGGTTATTTATGTCTTCTAATTGTATTCATATGTGGAAACACTGTATAATGGTATGCTATTGCAGATCTCTTCCCAACTCTATGTTCAATGACATAATATTGGTAGCTCGAAATTGGCTATGGTAGGAGAATTTACATCATGGAAATCAGCAAATCAGGCTCCACACACACCCCTGACATCCAGTAGTTAAACATTTACCATCTCATCACTGGACACATAGGAAAACTTCAAGTATTTGGAAATTAAACAATATACTTCTGAATAACGCACAGATCACCAAGGCAAGTGGATCGCTTGAGGCCAGGAGTTCAAGACCAGTCTGCACAAAATGGCAAAACTCCATCTCTACCAAAAAAAAAAAAAAAAAGCCAGATATGGTGGCATGCCTGTAATCCCAGCTACTAGGGAGACTCAGGTGGGAGGATCACATGAGCCTGGGAGGTGGAGGCTGCAGTGAGCTATGACCGCACCACTGCTCTCCAGCCTAGGCAACAAATATTGACTGGCTAATATTCGTTAAGAATTATTGTGTCTCGGCCAGCCGCAGTGGATCACACCTGTAATCCCAGCACTTTGGGAGGCCGAGGTGGGTGGATCACGAGATCAAGAGATCGAGACCATCCTGACCAACATAGTGAAACTCCATCTCTACTAAAAATACAAAAAAAATAGCTGGGCATGGTGGTGCGTGCCTGTAGTCCCAGCTACTTGGGAGGCTGAGGCAGGAGAATTGCTTGAAACTGGAAAACGGAAGCTGCAGTGAGCCGGGATCGCGCCATTGCACTCTAGCCTGGTGATACAGTGAGACTCTGCCAAAAAAAAAAAAAAAGAATTTTTGTGTCTAACCAGGTATGGTGGCTCATGCCTATAATCCTAGCTACTTGGGAAGCTGAGGTGGAAGGATTGCTTGAGGCTACGAGTTTGAGACCAGCCTGGGCAACATAACAAAACCTTTATTGAGACTCTGTCTCAATTAATAAATACATACAGATCCAAATAAATAACCAACACACAGGTCAAAAAAGAAATCACAAAGGAAATTAGAAAATAATTTGAACTTAATGATAATGATAGCAAAACAAATCAAAATGTGCAGGATTAGCTAAATTAGTTTCTAGAGAGAAGTTTATAGCTATAGCTTGTGTTGGATAATAAGAGAAGTCTAAAATTTATGATCTAAGATTCTTCCTTAAGAAGCTAGAACAAGAAAATGAAATTAAACCCAAAATAAGTAAAAGGAAAGAAATAATAGCTCAGAATAGAAATCAATGAACTAGAAAACAGACAAAAATAGAGACAGTCAATAAGACCAATAGCTGTTTTTTGAGAAGATCAATGAAACAGATAAATCTGATCAGGAAAAAAGAGAAGTCACACTGCCAATATCACAAATAAGAGAGGACAGCCGGGCACAGTGGCTCAAGCCTGCAATCCCAGCACTTTGGGAGGCCAAGGTGGGTGGATCACGAGGTCAAGAGATCGAGACCATCCTGGTCAACATGGTGAAACCCCGTCTCTACTAAAAATACAAAAAATTAGCTGGGCATGGTGGCGCGTGCCTGTAATCCCAGCTACTCAGGAGGTTGAGGGTTGAGGCAGGAGAATTGCCTGAACCCAGGAGGCGGAGGTTGCGGTGAGCCGAGATCGCGCCATTGCACTCCAGCCTGGGTAACAAGAGTGAAACTCCGTCTCAAAAAAAAAAAAAAAGAAACAAATAAGAGAGGACATCACTGAAAATCTTTTAAATATTAAAAAATAAGGAGAAATTATTAACAATTTAATGTCAACAAATTTAACAAATTAAATGTATGAATACCTTGACAGACATAAACTAACAAGGCTTACTCAGGAAGAAACAATCTGAATAGGTCTATATATCCTAAAAAGGTTAAATGGGTAATTAAAAACCTCTCACAAAGAAAACTCCAGGCCCAAAAGGTTTTATTGGTGTATTTTATTAAATATTTAAGGAAAAAATATTTCCAATCATACCATATGTTCAAAAAATAGAGAAAAAGAGAATACTTCCAAACTCATACTTTGAGAAGTATCAAAACTAGACAAAGTATCAAAGCTAGACAAAGCCATACCAAAGAAAGAAGAGTACATACAAATAACTTTCATAAGCCTAGGCACAATACTTCTTTATTTTATTATTATTATTATTATTTTTGAGATGGAGTTTCGCTGTTATTACCCAGACTGGAGTGCAATGGCACGATCTCGGCTCACCACAACCTCCACCTCCTGGGTTCAAGCAATTCTCCTGCTTTAGCCTCCCCAGTAGCTGGGACTACAGGCGTCCACCACCATGCCCAGCTAATTTTTGTATTTTTAGTAGAGATGGGGTTTCACCATGTTGACCAGGATTGTATTGATCTCTTGACCTTGTGATCCACCTGCCTTGGCCTCCCAAAGTGCTGGGATTATAGGCGTGAGCCACTGCGCCCGGCCTTATTTTATTATTATTATTATTCTTTTTTAAGAGACAAGGTTTTATTATGTTGCCCAGACTGGTCTCAAACCCCTAGCCTCAAGCAATCCTCCCACCTCAGCTTCCCAAGTAGCTGGGATTATAGGTATGAGCCACCATACCTGGTTAGACACAATAATTCTTAACAAATATTAGCCAGTCAATTTTAGCAACATATATAAAAGATAATATAACTAAGCAGGGTTGTAAGATTAATTTCACATTTGAAAATCAATGAAATTTACCACTGGAATAGCTAAAATTAAAAAGATTGATAATTAAAAAGATTGAGAATATAAACATACGGATGTGGAGAAACTGGAATTCTCAAACATTGCTAGTGAGAATGCAAAATGGTGCAACCACTTAAGAAAACTGGTAATTTTTTTCTTTTTTTTCATATACTTACATAGCCTTCCAAAAAATGGCAATTTTTAAAGGTTTTTTTTGTTTTCTTTTCTCTTTTACTAAGACAGGGTCTCACCATGTTACCCAGGCCAGAGTGCTCTGGGGCAGTCATGGCTCACTGTAACTTCTACCTCTGAGGCTCAAGCAACCCTCCCACCTCAATCCCTCAAGAGTAGCTGGGGCTACACGTGTGCACCACCATGTCTGGCTAATTTTTGTTTTAGTAGAGATAAGGTCTCACTATGTTGCCCGGGCTTATCTTGAACTCCTGAGCTCAAGCAATCCTCTTGCCTTGGCCTCCCAAAGTGCTGAGATCACCCATGTGAGCCACCTCACCCAACCTCTTTTTTTATTGATACATAATAATTGTACATATTTATGCAATGATACTTTGTTACATGCATTTAAAATGTGGAATGCTTCAGGAATCTGTAAGTCATCTTTGTTCCAGGGCCATGCTAATCTCCGTGCTGTTTCAAATTTAATATATGTGCTACTGAAGTGAGCACAAAACTGCCAATTTTTGAAATAAGGTTAAACATACATACACATGCCAGCAGTTTCACTCCTAGATCTTAACCCAACAGAAACAAACATATCCTTGCAAAGATTTGTATGCAAATGTTTAAATATAATGATTTATTTTTTTAATAGGGACTGGAAACAACCCAACTACCTATTGATAGATGAATGATTAATTTTCATATATCCACACAATAAAAAAATACTCGGCAATAAAAAGGAACAAATTACTGATAAGTACAACATGGATGAATCTCAAAAACAGTATGCTAGGTAGATAAACCAGCTGCAAAAGAGTGCATACTGTATGATTCCATTGAAATGAAATTCTAGAAAGAGGAAAATAAACCTGTATTGACAGAAAGCAGATCGGTGGTTGCCTTGGCCTGGGAATTGGCAGAGCATGAGGGAGCTTTTTGGAATATCAGTAATGCTTTGTATCTTGGTTATAATAGTGATTACACGAGTGTATACATTTAAAACACACTGAACATATACTTGAAGGGGGATACTTTATTTTATGTAAATTATACCTTAGGCCGGCACAGTGGCTCATGCTTGTCATTCCAGCACTTTGGGAGGCCAAGGTAGAAGGATTACTTGAGGCTAGGAGTTGGAGACCAACCTGGGCAACATAGTGAGACCCATCTCTACAAATTTTTTTTTTTAATTAGCCAGGTGTGGTGGTGCACACCTATAGTCCCACCTACTTGGGAGGTTGAGGAGGGAGGTTCCTTTGAGCCACAGCAAGCTATGATCATGCCACTGCGTCCCAGCCTAGGCTTTGTGTCAAAATACATATATGTATATATGCACACACACACATATACCTGTATATACATATACATATATATCAGAAAATTTTAATGTTAACCATTTTTTCCATTGTTACTCCTCAAGGATCACTCTGCAGTTGTTAACAACTTTCTCCTTCCTGAAGTCATGTTGGATTACCTCCTCATCTCCAGCAGCTTTGGTTTCTTTTGTTAGCTTTTCTTTCTGGTCACATTCATTAGATATAATCATTTCCAATAATCCAATCTTACTATCTAAGAATTTACCTACCCTTCTAGTTTTCATTTTACTGCTCATAACTCTCAAATTTAGCTCTTTGACCAACATCCCTATACAATACAGTAGTTGGATTTTTTCACTTGTAAACTCAACTTCAGCTCCCAAATTGCTTCTACATCTTTATATTAGGCACCCAAGCTTATGATCTCAGAGTTATCCCTGCTCCCTCTTCCTTCCTTTCTTTTTTTTTCCACCCATGCAGAAAAAGATGGCTCTTTCTTTCTTTATTGAACTTTCCCCCATCCCCCTCAGGTGAATTCCTAAGACCAGTTGGTTCTCTTCGAAAATGTTCCCTGTATCTTCCCTTTAGATTTTCACTACTCTCCATTACCGAATATCCAGACTGTTATAACAATAACAGGTCTCTTTGCCTTCATCCACAATTTTTCTCCTTGCACATAGCACTGCTAGCATAGTCTTCATAAAGTATCACTTTCATTCTCTACTTTTTTTGCTCAAAACTATTCAGTGGATCTCCTCTGTTCTCCTCTTGCCTAGAGGAGAAATATCCTAGCATTCAAGTATCAATACAATCGAGCCCAACCTATCTTTTCCTTAATTTTCCCTATGAAATCCTCAGGACCCATTAAAATAATTAGCTCACTACTTCTAATGCTCTCGCCAGTGGCATGCTTCCAGCCCTGAATGCCCCTCCCTCTTTGCTATTCATTTTCTACCTATTTTTCAAAGCTACATTTTTGCCCTAGCTGGAAGTGACATCTTTTGATTTGGGGCCACCTAGTACTAATTTCCAGCCTAGCATTGCTTTTATTTTTATTTATCAAACATTCATTTGATAGGCAGCATGGCATGTTTGACAGCATCAGCAGATTATTTAACAACTGTCTGATTCACGTTTTTAAAAGGAGCATAACAAAAATAATATCTCATAGTGTTGTAAAAAATAAATGATATGGATTAAAGTCTTTAGCGCAATACATGGCATATGGACATGTTTAAAAATAGCTATTGGCTGGGTGTGGTGGCTCATGTCTATAATCCCAGCACTTTGGGAGGCCAAGGCGGGTGGATCGCCTGAGGTCAGGAGTTTGAGATCAGCCTGGCCAACATGGTGAAACCCTGTCTCTACTAAAAATACAAAAACTAGCTGGATGTGGTGGCAGGCCCCTGTAATTCCAGCTACTCAGGAGGCTGAGGCAGAGAATTCCTTAAACCCAGGAGACAGAGGTTGCAGTGAGCTGAGATCACACCACTGGGCTCCAGCCTGGGCGACAGAGTGAGACTCTGTCTCAAAAATAATAAAAATAAAATAAATACAGCTATTATATGATTAATTATATGATGATGATTATTATTGAACACTGAGATAAGATGAATAGAATTCCTGTCTCTTAAGGGCTTTAACATTATCTAAAAACGTTTTAGTTTTCTCATCTGGATTCTTCAGAATCTGAATTTAGCAAATAAAATAGGGATCTGCTTGATATTATCATGGCTTGGACTAGCAGCAAGATTGTACTGGGGGGAGTCACAGTGACAGAGACTGTTTTGTCAGTTTAGCTTGTGCTCTTTAAATTATTAAAAAATATAAACAAGCCTACCAAACAAGTCTATCCTTCATGAAATATTTAGGGAATATATTTCTTATGCTTTGCAAAATGTATCTCTTATAATAACTTTTAAATTCCCAATGTAAGAAGTTTTATTTTTCATTAAAATTTAATCTGTTTAGGACCAGGAGCTACATTATCTATTCTAGACAAATTTCTTGAAGAATCCTCCAAACTGCAGTCTGATTCACGAGAACGCATTTTGTCTACACAAGCTTGGGATCCAAGTATACACCAAAATTTATCTAACACATTTATCAAGGAGGTACCAACAAAGAAAGGTAACTAGAAATAAAGATTTCCACTTGGAAGAGGGGCATAAGCTAGATAAGGATGAAGACTCTTGCAATTATAAAATGGCAATCCTGACTTGTTTAAAGTTGATTAGTTGCCTAAATTATTTAATATTAACTAGACTCTGAAATCCAAACTCTTTCAATAAGCAAAGATTTTATATTTAGCTCACAGAAGTAGCCAACTACAGACCTATGATTTCCTAACAGGTCTTCATTTTTTAAAAAAAATCTACAAATTGTGTTTCACATTCAAGAAGATTTGAATACTTTTTAAAAGCTTTTCATTTGGTTGTACTTGCATTTGGAACCACAAGTAGATTCACCTTGAGAACCTTTGAGTTCTCCTTTTTCAGGACCATTGCTGAAGAGCAATCAATTGCTTTCCAGATTATGCTCTCTCTCATGTATTAGATGAGAAAACTCTCCCTGTTATGTGAGTGTGTCTGAATTTCTGACACTTTTTCTGTTACATTAAATCTTCTGCCCTTTTAATGTAATATTTTCAGAAGTATCAAAATGCGAAGATTCATCAGCTCTTCTGCATCCTGGCTTTCATTATGGTGCTTCTCAAACTACCACCATCTTCATGGAGACCATACGTTTCTTGATGAAAGTCAAGGCTGTGCAGGTCAGAATGTTTGGAAAAGGGCAAGTAGATGGAAAGATTTTAGCGAACTCCTTATTCTATCCTTAATGGTATCTTTCAAGCTTAGATATTTGTGAAGCAGAAATCAAATATGGTTTTGAGAGCATACCTTAAGCCCAATGGGAAGAACATCCAAACATGAACCACTCTTTACTCAAGGCAGCAGCAGATCTCACTCCAGGTCCACTCCCTGTAGAGTACCAACAGAGCTAAATCAGACTCTAAGGTGTATGTTGCCTGATATTACTTTATTATGGGAATTCATTATATGAGTGTTGGGGGTTCACAGGAGCCAAATCATTCCCCTCTTCCCCTCTAGGTTCTGATCCAACTGGAAACATACACAGTACTATATGGGGGAATAAAAATATTAGCTTATTTTTATTGGTAAAACTGGGCTGGAGAACATAACTGGCCCCACATTTGACTTACCCATGAAATCACAGGTAGAGCAGCTAAAGAACTGAAGCCTCCTCTCAGAGAAGCATAGCATCCTAATAGGTCTGCCTACCACATGGGAAGCAAGAAGCATATCCATGAGCAAGGAGTAGGAGGGAGAGCAAGATTCAGGAGCCAAGAGTGTTTGGTTTTGATCCTGTCGAGTGCATGCCCCACTTGAGGGCAGGCAAGGTCAAGAAAGGGCAAGAATTATAAACTGGGTTGGATTGGGCCACATTAAGAAGAAGCCTTTAACACATTAACCCTCCTCAAAATAAAAACAGGGTCTCTTCTCCCAGAGCTAAATATGTCATTAGCCCCTCAAGGTCAGAGACTCAGAAGGCAGGTAGAAAAAATAGCTGCAGCTATTCCCTCTAGTGTTCTTCTAAAAATGTATAAGTATAATGTAGAATTTTCTAGATTATAGGCAAAGATATGAACAGTGGGAGAAGAAAAGAAGGATTTACCTTTGATTTAGCAAGTATATCTAACTTTCTTAAATTTGTAGTCTTATAAAGTATAAAAAGCAAAGATTTGGCCAGGCAAGGTGGCTCACACTTATAATTCCAGCACTTCTGGGGGGCCAAGGCAGGAGGATTGCTTGAGGCCAGGAGGCTGCGGTAAGCTATGACAACACCATTGCACTCCAGCCCTAGGTGACAGAGCAAGACCCTGTCTCTAAAAAAATAAAAAGTACAAAAATACAAAAATTGGCCCAAAGTACAAAACTGGTAAACATAACCAATGTTTGGAGGTACATCCAAAACAGACATTTATGTTTCTAAGATTTCAAGTCTAGATTGTTAGAAAGGCAGTTTTGCCTCGCTGTAAATTTCCTTACAATGTCAGCTGCCTGAAAATGTTGCCTTCTATGTAAATGGGGTGGTTGATGATATGCCTTTGTCTGCTCTATTTTCTAACACTCACCTAGTATGATGACCAGCAAGACCAGAATTGTACAA